GAAATTGAGTGGAATTAGGAGCAAAATGCAGCTGCAATTTGTACTGCTCCATTGCTGGTTTTTGTACCAGCCTAAGAAGGAAGAGGCCGCGTTGAATGATGCAATTTTTTTTTTTAAAACAAATTTGATTTTTGTTTTCTTTCTTTTCTTTTAGCTCTTTTTTTCCTTTTCATTCTTTTTTCTTTTTTCGATTTTTCTAAAATGCTTTCTCAAGAAACAAAATAAATTAAAATATAAATATAAATAAAATTTAACTAAAATGAACCAAAAAATGGTAAAATTTTGGTTACTACATCTCCAATTCGAATTTGAAAGATATTTAGATTTCTATAAGTCCAATAACCGAATTTACCGAATTCATATAACCGAATTACCGAATATGCACCGTTTGCTCACCCCTGCATTCGGCTAGAAGCAAGTTAAACTATATCTCTCAAGGGTTTCAAGCAATAAAAGATGTTAAATGAGTGATTCTTCACTCGTTAACTTCAGCATTATGATTAGTCATCTATAGATTGACAATGCACGTTTTAATGTGAAAACAGTTATTAACCTAAGCTCGCAGGGGAAATTCAGCTACACTGCTACTAAGATTACGCGACCAAAAATGTCAAGCAAGAAGTAGTATTATTATTAAGGCAAAACTTCTCAATCACCCTCAAACTATTAAGAAGTTCAACTTTTGATCATTCAATTGTTGATTGGATAGTTTTAGCTCTCCAACTAATTAAAATGTATACTTATAGTCCTTCCGTTAATTTGAATCATTATGTTTAACAGAAATAACCCCATATGCAAGAGGCACAGGGGATAAACGAGAGGTCTTTTCATCTACATACGATATGTGTTGTGAAACCTTCTTAGACAATGCTGTTATTGCTTTATGTCTTCCTCGAGAACTCATCGAAAAATAGACACCATCACCTCTAACCTTGCCAAAATTGCCTTTCTCTCTCCCAGACACCAAAATATAATTCACCCCCTAAAATTCTTAAAAAATTAAAGTAAAACAATAAAGGAGAAAAAAAAATAAAATCACCTCCCAATTTTGTCCCTTTAAACTAAGAGAACGAATTGGAAACTTGGACCCTCCGCATAGCTGAGCATCTAACCATATGATGGGCTGGGAAGCCCAATAGTTTGGTTTTAACTTGGCAATAGGCCCAACTCCCACATCTTGTTTCGTTAATTGGAAGAGTTGCATAAGTTATTGGTAGGTATTAAATGTTTTTCTTTTTAATACCACTAGGAGTGAGGCGATGGATCCAGGTAGGATAGTTCGTTTTATACTTTTATACCATAGTCTCCCTCATTTATACTTTCTATCTAAAATTATTTACACTAGATCTTCACTGTTTATACCCCAGACAAACTGGTATGAAATGGAACTTATGAGATCCTTAATCCGTGCTTAGATGGTCTTTAAATATATACTTTTCAGGGATTAACTTCATACACGTCTAAAGATGGATATGGAATATCAAACTCTTTAAAGTTTTTATGAAGTCAAAATGTATCAACAAAATATTTAGGGCAAAAAATCTCAGCGGCCACTAAACTATTGGTCAGATCATGTTTTGGTCATCAAACTATTTTTCGTCAGTAATTAGCCACTAAACAACTTAATCAGTAAATTCGTGACCATTTAGTCGATAATTGCTCTTAATCTGTGAAATTAGCAGTACACGTGGCAAAGTGCGGGGTAATTTTATCCAAAAACTATGCGACCCTATCTCATAGATTAACTGCTAATTTGACAAATTAAGAGCAATTATCGACTAAATGGTCACAAATTTACTGATTAAGTTGTTTAGTGACCAATTATTGATCAAAAATAGTTTGATGGCCAAAACATGATGTGACCAATAGTTTAGTGGCCGCTGAGGTTTTTTACCCAAATATTTATAAATTTCGCACCTTTTTTTAAATGGTAAATCTACTCGATATCTTACACACTAGCGAATTTGAATGTATATTATATTAGCAAAGATTTAGAGCTCAAAAAACAGACTAAAATGATGTACCATGTATCCTAATCCACTAGCGCATATATAGCTCACGGTGAACTGGGGAAGGTAACTACGACAAGAGCTTCCGAAGATTTCTAATGTTCCCTATTACCTAAAACAAATATGCTGAAGAACGCATAAAACAATAGTGGGCTCACTAATAGGCTAATAGCAGTAAGTTGTGACAGGAATGGCGGATGCCTTAGAAAGAGCCTTTCAAAATTTCGACTTGTCTGAAACAGAGTTAGGAGGTGTCGATCTGAGTGGCGAGGACTTGGAAGAAGGCGTCACTGAGTGTCAAGGAAGTCTGGTAGGAAAGCTGATAGGTGAAAAAATTGCCAACTTCACGGGGTTAAAGAACTTTGCAAACCATGCATGGGGATACCCCTCAAAGATGAAAGTGACTGAGTTAGGTCCTAACTTATTCCAGTTCCATCTGGGAGATGAAGGGGAGAAGAAAAAGATCTTATCTGGAGGGCCTTGGGTCATGGATAACCAGGTGCTGATAATGAAGGAGTGGGTAGAGGGGTATGATAGAAACAACAGCTTTTTCCAGCATTTCTTTCTTTGGATTCAACTATGAAACCTACCGGTGCACTGGTTGAGTAGAGCAGTGGGTATGAAAATAGGAGGGATCTTTAAATCAGTTAGGGGAGTGATTCTCCCAGAAAGTGGTGAGAAAGAGGGTCGCCACATGAAGATTATGGCTGAGGTAGATATAACGAAACCACTGGTTCGAGGGACAAAGATCAACTTTAAGAACCAGGCAGTGTGGGTTCAGTTCAGGTATGAACGCTGCCTTGATTTCTGTTATAGGTGTGGTATCATAGGGCATAGTGATAGGACTTGTACTGTGGTAGGAAGGGTGGGGGGGGGAGAAGCGAGAGGAACAATATGGTGCCTAGATGAGAGCTGGAAATATAATGGTATCTCCCTTAAAGGGACGACTGGAAGGAGTAAGTGAAATTGGTGGAAAGAGGGTGGGGGCAGGGTCTCCTAGTAGTGAAGTTCAAACTGGGGTACAAATGTCTGGGGATACATTAAATCTTGGGGGAAAAATAGTAGAGTTTTGGTGGGAAAGGAAAGGGTGGATAAGGAGAAAATGATGAAGAGACAATTTGAAGAGAGGTGGGATGAGATTCTAAAGGATAGCAGACAATATGAAAAGGCAGACCAAAGGGTTGAAAGTTTGGCAGTGGTCTTAATGGAGGGAAATGGTGAAAAGGAGGGTAGGGTACAGGAAGGGTTAAAAGGTGGGAGCAGAGTAATCCCACCAGTAGAAAATGAGGATATGGATATGGACAGTTCAAAAAAGGAATGTGAAAGTTCGCTGATAGGGTCAATAAAGCAGGAGGGGACAAATGCAAGAATGCAAAGGAAGGCGACTACTCCAGGGGAAGAAGACAACAAAACTGAAAAATGAAGCAGTTTTAAAAGAAGAGGGAGGCCGGCTAAAACTTCCTTAAAGGCAGATACAAATGGGCAAGAAACGCAGGTTTTGTGTGCTAAAAGGAAGGCTGATGGTATGTTTCAGGGGACACAGCCGATGGAGGAGGATGATGATAATGTACCGAAGGTAAAGGTAATGAAATTGGATCTAAAAAATGATGGTACAATAGGGGAAATGGAGGCTAGCCCCATAATGCCTCCAAAGTGTAAATGAAAGTTGTGGTGTGGAATTGTCGAGGTGTAGGAGGTCCCTTGACAATTCCCCAACTAAAGGAAGTGACTAACTTCCACTCTCCTAAGGTGGTGTTCCTTTGTGAAACAAAGAATCAGGAAGGTTTTATGGGTAAGGTTCAAAGGAAGATTAAGTATGACAATAGCTATTTTGTGAATTCGATAGGTAGAGCAGGCGGTCTAGCATTATTTTGGAACAATGAGGTGACATTAGACAAGATCGTAAGTACTGATTGGTGTATTAGTGCTAGAGTTGAAGACAAGGATTCGAAAGGATACTGGGGGCTAGTGTGTGTTTATGCAAGCACAGATAGTAACATTAGAAAAGCACAATGGAAATCTTTAGAGGACAGGATGAGGGACTGGGGGGAGGACTGGATCATTGTTGGAGATTTTAATGATTTGCGGTCTAGTGAGGAGAAGTGGGGAGGAAGAGATAGAGATGAAAGATGCTTTAGGGAGTTCAACAGGTTTATCAAAGACAATAACTTGGTTGACTTAGGTTATCAAGGGGTCCCGTGGACTTGGTGCAATAGTTGGGAGGGGGATGGGGAAGTGAAAGAGAGGTTGGATAGATGTTTATGCAGCACCGAATGGCTGCAAAGATTTGAAAAGGCACAGTGTACTCATTTAGAAACTGAAGCCTCTGATCATTTAATGCTTCTTGTGGATACAAACCCGGAAAACAGAAGGAGAAAACAGAGATTTTACTTTGATCAAAGATGGACACAAAATCCAGAAGCAAAAAGGGTGATTCAAGGAGCATGGACAAAGGTGAAGTTAGGGTCCAGGATGTTTAGAGTGGCTACAAAAATAAAGGAATGTCGCATGGCTATTCTGGAATGGAGGAAAAATGTGCAGGGAAACTCAAAAGTTAGAATTAAAGAGTTAAAGGAGAAATTGGCTGAAGTGAAAGCAAGAAATGATGATGGGAAAAGAGTACAAGTTGATGACCTAAAAGCACAATTGACTAAAGCTTATGCAGAGGAAGAGATGTTTTGGAGTAAAAAATCCAGGAGCAAGTGGCTCAAAGAAGGGGACAAGAATACAGCTTTCTTCCATTCTTCGGTCATGGCAAAGAGGAGAAGAAACAAGATCAGTACATTGCAGAAAAAAGATGGGACATGGTGCAAGGAGGAACATGAGATTGAGGAGGAACTTTGTGAGCACTATAAAGACCTTTTTACCACAACTAACCCGGACTGCTTTGAGGACATTCTAGCTGAAATTCCAAGCACTATTTCGAGTCATATGAATGAGCAACTGATATGACAAGTGGAGGAAAGTGAGATCAGGAAAGCTTTGTTCTCGATGCACCCTAATAAAGCACCAGGAACGGATGGTATGTCTCCTCTATTTTTTCAACACTATTGGGATATTATCAAGATTGATGTGGTAGCAGCTATTAAGAGTTTCTTTCATACTGGGCATTTGCTCAAAGCTGTGAATGATACTATTATTTCGTTGATTCCAAAAGTTGATTCTCCTGAATCTGTGGTGCATTTTAGACCTATTAGCTTGTGTAATGTCCTGTATAAAATTATTTCTAAAATTATAGCTAATAGATTGAAAGGGGTCTTGCATCATTGTATTAGTCCCTCTCAGTCCGCTTTTATCCCAGGCCGTCAAATCCTTGATAATGTAGTAGTTGCACATGAAATCCTGCATTTTTTGAAAAATAGGAGAAAGGGAAGGGTAGCATTTATGGCTCTTAAACTGGACATGTCCAAAGCTTACGATAGAGTCGAATGGAAATTTGTGGGGAGAGTTATGATGAAAATGGGGTTTTGTCCAATTTTTGTAAGATGGATCATGTCTTGCCTATCTACTGTGACTTACTCCTTCAACTTAAATGGGCAAAAGGTAGGCTGTGTTCAACCGAGTAGAGGGCTTAGGCAAGGAGACCCTCTATCACCGTATTTGTTTATTATATGCGCTGAAGGTCTTTCATGTTTGATCGACAAAGCTATGATGAACAAGGAAATAACAGGGATCAAAATATGCAAGGATAGTCCGATGGTTTCTCACCTCTTTTTTGCAGATGATTCTCTACTATGCTGCCAAGCAACCAAGCAGGAGGCGAGGAAGGTCAAAAGCATCTTGGAAAGATATGGTCAAGCATCCGGACAGGTGGTAAATTTTGAAAAGTCAGCTATCTTCTATAGCAAAAATACCACTGATCAAAGGAAGAATGGAGTGAGGGAGGAATTAGATAACATCAAAGAGGCAAGGAACGGAACCTATCTGGGACTCCCAATGGCAATTGGAAGATCAAAGACACAGGTCTTTGCATTTGTCCAGAACAAAATCAGTAACAAGTTGCAAGATTGGAAACAAAAACTTTTGAGTCAAGGAGGGAAAGAAATTCTGGTCAAATCAGTGATTATGGCTATGCCAACATATGTGATGGCTTGCTTTAGACTTCCAAGGGGTTTGTGTAGACAAATCACAGGTAAAATAGCGAGATTCTGGTGGAGAAAGGGAGAAAAGGGCTCCTGCGTACATTGGGCAAGCTGGAAGAAGCTTTCAGAAGTTAAGGGAAGAGGAGGTTTAGGTTTTAGAGACTTGGAGGCCTTCAACACTGCCTTATTGGCAAAACAAATTTGGAGATTCTTAATGGCTCCAAATTTGTTAGTAAGTAAGGTAATGAAGGCGAAGTATATGAGAGATGAAAAATGGATGGACAAGAATCCAGTCTCTTCAGCCTCATGGTGTTGGAAGAGTATTCATAGTGCAGCCTCTTTTCTGTATGATGGTCTTTGGAAAAGAATTGGAGATGGTAGGTCAGTCAGTATGTGGCGGGACTGATGGATAGTTGGTTCAGATACTGGCTTTGCATCAACCACACAACCTGTGGAATGCAAGTTGGAATGGGTAAGTGAGCTGATAGAGGAAGGGAAATGGAAAAATGAATTGCTTCTCAAGTGATTTAGTACAAAAGATGCCGAGCATATAAAAGGAATTCCAACAAGTATAGGAAGAAGAAAGGATAGGTTGGTATGGGGGCATTCCAAATCTGGAATTTATAGCGTGAAATCTGGTTATGCTGTTGCAAGGCAACAGGAAGGAAAAGCAGGTAGAAGGACAGGCCAAGAAGCAGAAACAAGTTGGGAGATACGAAAGCGAAATGTGTGGAAGCAGTTATGGCATTTGAAGGTGAAGGCCAAACTAAAACACTTCATGTGGAAGTGCTTACAAAACTGTCTGCCAGTTAATGAACAGCTATCGAAAAGGCTACACAGAGGGGAAGGCAGATGTGGTTGCTGTGGTGAAGACATGGAAACCATTGAGCATTTGTTCTTCTTCTGTGACAAGGCTGTGGAAGCATGGAAGCTAGCACCAGTCAGGTGGGATGGATTAATGGGTATGCAATATAACTTTTGGCTATGGTGGGAACAAGTCACACAATCGCTGGCACTGAATCAAGGTCAGGAGAGAGTTAGTCTTACTATTAATATCCTTTGGCAAATTTGGAAAGCCAGGAACAAAAATTTTTTTGAAAAAGTCAACCAGGATCCAGTAAGAATCGTAAGGAAAGCACAAGATGAATGGCTTGAGTTCGAACAGGTAAGGAATACAGACCAGATGGAGAGTACAGGGAAGATGAATGATGCCTTACCTACCAGGAGGGTGCGGACAAGGAAGGAAGAGATAAGGTTGTATACTGATGCTACGATATCAGCTAAACGAGTCAGGACTGGACAAGGGATTATAGCAAGGAATTGGAAAGGACAGCTTTTGAAAGCAAAAGGAATTGTCACACAGGGAAAGGGATCGGCAAGTGAAGTGGAAGCTCGGGCTGTGAGAAATGCTCTGCTGATGGCTACCCAAGCAGGTTGGACAAAAATTATAGTCCATACAGACTGCAAATCAGTGGTTGAGCATATTACTAAACGCAAGGAGTTTGACTACACGACTGCAGCGATCTTAGAAGATGTGCAGGAACTTAGTCTTGCTTTTGAAAAATGTTCCTTTGTGTTTATACCCAGAACTGAAAATCAAATCAGCCATCAATTAGCACAATATGCTGTGATGCTTGTACATGACATTGAATGGGAGAATGATTTCCCAATATGGCTGACTGAATTAGCTAGGACAGAGATGAGGGTAGTATCCCCTTTTTGTAACTAATCCTTGTAAGGTCAAGTGTTAATATCTATAACATGATATCGTTTGTTGAAAAAAAAAAAAAAAGTAAGTTGTGACAATATTGTCCTTGCAAACAAACTCAGTTATGATAATCTGCAGAAATTTAAAATTCTTCTGCCATCACTTCAAATTCACCATGATTCTCAAGCTAATGAGTATTGTTGTTGGCATAAAACTTATTGTCTGTATTAACCATTTGTTAATCCAGTCATTGTCTGCCACTTTCTCTCGTGATCATCACAATCAGCCAATGCAAATGAACTCTTTTTTTCTAAATTATTTTCTCAATGGCTATGGCTAATTTATTTCCTTTTTTTTGTTATTTATTTAATTTCTTCAGTCTTGACTCGGATAGAACATTGGCCAGGAAACTAGTATTTGGGTGTTTGGATTGTAAATTATTTGAGATAGAACAATAGTACTCAAAGGAAATTCTAAACAAATACTCCTTCCATCCCAATATTAGAGTCACTTATTGAGAATTCAACTTTTTATGCAAAAACAATAATCATTATGTCTAGATAAGGCATCATTGATGAATTTACATATGTATCCTTTAGATTCAAAATATTTTCTTGTTAAATGTGCACTGAAATTTTAAAAATTTGCTTTTTTAAATGACAAGATTAGAAAGCAAATGTTAAATTTGAAATGATGACTCTTGTTTTGGAATATCAATAAAGTGAAAACATGACATTATCAATAGAACAAAGGGAATAAAATTTTGTGAGAAATTTTTGTGTGCAGGATTGAAGATTATTTCACTTTATTTACAGCTTATTTACACACACTGACTTGCTTGCATCATTAACACATTTTTCAATTACCTTTTTATCTTACATACATCATATCAAAAAAGTGTTACAGTAAAAATATTTCAAATAATTTACAATCCAAACACATAAACTTAACCGTCCAATCTTCCATTGGATGATGACATGGACCCCCTATCCACCGTCCACGTGTCCAACAGTGCCTCCGGGCACTGTTCGCTACTCTACCCAATAGCACTGTGCATCCTGGTGGGCTCGAGCTCTCTCGAGCGGCCAGTGGGACACGTGGATGGTGGATAGGGGGTCCACGTCATCATCCAGTGGAAGATTGGACGGTTGAGATTTACTCAACCCAATACAATTAACGGCTATAAGACACTCGTTCTTGAATTGCCCTTTCTCTCTCCTCCCCAGATCAAATCCAGACCGTCCATCCTCCGGATGGAGGACACGTGGACACCCTATCCACCGTCCAGGTGGCGCCCCGAGCGTCTTTGTAATAATGATTATTGTTTCTGCATAAAAAGTTGAATTCTCAAGAAGTGACTCTAATATTGGGATGGAGGGAGTATTTGTTTAGAATTTCCTTTGAATATAATGTCTGGGAGGACTCTTCGAATTTTTCTAACTATCAGATTTGGGATTTGAGTCCTGCACCTGGCAATTGAAAGTGGGAACTGTGTGTGTGGGAGGGGGGTAGGAGGGTAAAAAGTATAATACTCATTATATTACTCAAAAAATATAGCTGCGAAAAATAGGCGTATGTAATATCAAAAGGTTTTGAAATCAAGAAGAATGGGCACATATTGTGTTTGGATATCAAAAAATCAAGAAAAAAGAAATTTTAGATTTTGTTTTGCTTATATCATACACATAATTTTCAATCACCTTTTTATCTTACATAAATCACATCACAAAAAATGTTACAATAATTATTTCAAATAACCTCCAATCGAAACAAACTCAATTATTTTTGACTGCATATAAAATGAATAATAACAACACAAACGTAACAGAATCCAATTGGCCACTACGATTACACAATCAATTCAATATCCAGTTCTTGAAGTACTGAAACAAAGAGGAACTAAGAAAAATTTGCTTAGTTAACGAAGGCACACTGTTTCCTGATTTCACCATTCTTGCCAGTAAGAACTCCAATGCGACCCATATTCACCATTGAAACCCCAAAATCATCAAAGAACCTCATGGATCCAGCATGGCTTAGATGTTGTTGGATATAGGTTTTTGTTTCAGTGTCATCCAAAAGAGCTGCGTCAGATTGAAAAAGCCCTCTTCTATTACTTACTGTAGTATAATAATCAATATCAAATTTTTTTGGACTGCTGTCCATCGGAAGAATTGTAGTAACATCTCCTGGCTTGCATTGTCGCCTTAGCTTGGCAAGGTACTTAGGGTCCAAGCTTGGATCAGTGTCACCTTTGCCTGTGAAATTGAACAAACGTGGGTTGACGCCAATGCAATGAGATATCCCAATCGTGTGCCCTCCTGAAAAAAGAAAGAAATGAAGTTAGAAAAAGTTCTCTACCATGATATTTTTGAAGGGGAATATCCTATGTCATAGTTTCTACAGCATAATCTAATTTTTTTTTTTTAGAAAAATTTTTATGCTAAAAATTTCTCGATATGGAGGCCAAAAAGGTAGTTGAGAGATGCGTCTAAAAGTTTTTTTGGAACAGTTTTGAGAAAAAATGCAACCAAAATCTTGCCTTTTAGATTTTTAAGATTTCCTGGCTCCTCATCTTTGCTAGGAATAGAGGCATAAAAATCCACACTACTTGGGAAATCAAACCATGTGCACGTCAGATTAAATATAGAGGCTAGATGTGTTAAAAAGAACCATTTTTAGATAGAATTAGAATGTTTAATCTTGAAAAAGGATTCAAAAGTATTAGGATTAAAAGTACCACGGGCATAATTCAAAACATGATCGATGATCATCATGTACGTTACTGAGAGGTACCTGATAGAACTGCAAGGTCTTTGACACTCAAACCCACAGATTGAAATGATGCTTTCAATTGAGTTATGTTCATGAAAGGTGAAGGCAGCTTGTTTAAGGCCTCTGAAGCTATAGAGACTGTTCCATCTCTTCGGCCTAACTCGACTTGCCATGATGGTCCCTTAATCTGCATGAAAACTGCCACCTTTAGCGCACTTGTTTTACAAGTTTATATTTCCTCAAAGTTTAAAATTTGGAAGAGTTTCAAAATATTCACCAAAGTAATAGCATCACGGGCAACTAATGCCACGATATCTGCACAAGAAACAACACCAGGACATATTTTCTCTACTGCTGATTTCACTGCATCAATAACTTGGTACCCTATAAGAAATTGATTTGGGATTGCTGCTTTCTCAGCTTGATTTTTGGAGGTAGAGTTTAATAGGACCGAACCATCACATCCCTGCAAATAAAATTAACTCGTTAGACAACAAAAATTTTTTTTTTCGAAATAACGAATTATCGGTATATCAACAATTGAGAAGAAACCACATCATTGTCCATTCAAGAGTATAATGTTATATATTTGCTGTATATGGAAGTAGTATACACAAAGATGATGAACTTTTCATGTTTAGTAAAAGGCAGTACTATATTTTGTATTTTGCGTGAGATTAATTTGCATTGACAATCATTTCTATCCATATCCACAAAAGGACTAGTAGCCAGCTTGTTAAAATGAAACTAGTGTAGCATATATATAGTGAGACTACAAAATTGAACCCTTAAATCCTCTCTCAAACTACATCGCCTTTTCTTTTTCCTTTAGGCTCTGATGGGTAACAAGGTCAAATCCTTAATCTAGACCTAGGCAAAAAACATATCAGCCCCATTAACCAACAATTATCTTAATCAGGCTTTAAGCATAAAACATAACATCCTCCATTAACCATGTAATCGCGACGAAGAAACCTAAACGTACTAATTCTATGCTAAGAAGTCTTCAACAACGACAACCTTATTCAACACCTATAATATGTAGAACCAGCTACATGTATGGTTTTAGTACATGGCCATTAGATGTGATAATCCTATTTGCACCATAAGAAAAATTGGAAAGGTTGATGTGTGATCTTACCCGAACAAAACAATCGTGGAAATGCATTCTCAATAATGGAGGTGCAAGACTTGGTGTTCGAGAAATGAATTTTGCTGTTACGTCTTTGACAATGAACTCCAAGAAGGGACATGTCTTTTCGTAAAAATTGACATCTAAGCCTTTTCCATTCGAGAGGTTTAAAACACATAGAACACATAACAGTTGAAGAAAGATAAGAGAAAGAGACTTGGACAATGCCATTGTTTTTGCTACGAACCAATGTATTTCTTTCTATTCTAAATCTCTGAAGAACAAAACAGATTGCCACCCTTTAAATAGTTAGAGCCATTTGAATGTTTCACTGCAAAAAACACATAGCTGGGATGATGAGATTAATTATTGGGTTCAGTAGTTAGTACATCGTAAGGCAAATTTTTTTTGCATTAGAATTGGTTGACTTTGAAGAATACAATTATTGTCAATGATGCCAGCCGTGAAAAAAATTTCTGGGTTTTAGAGGCAGCATCTTAAAGAATGGAAAATTTTGATCAATAGAATTTAAGAATGTGTGTTCTTTCTAGGGACATAATTTTAAATAATTAATTTCTTATTTAATGAGGTAGTTTAAATTCTAATACAGACTAACGACACCTGTTGGTTTACATGATGAGGCTTATTATTTATCATTGCTTGTTGAAAATTGATAGTTTGACCTTAATAACATTTCGGTATCAATTGCGTAAACTCTGAACAGTGTGGCATATTTTATAAACAAGTTTGTCAGTTCCAACTGATTAAATTGATGGGTATTTACAACTTGCTTTTAGACAATTTGTAAAGTTTTTTTTATTTTAATAATACATGTTGCAAGATGAGAAATTGCAAAAGCAAGCCAAAGAGTTTGGTGTGATACTGAAAATTATATAGCTATAATTGTCAACGAAATGCTGGTGAGAAGGGGCATATGTCACCCTTTTACATGTTTCCATATGGGTAGAATGAATGAACCTCAACAACTATATTGATCCTAGTCTCCATCTCTTTAAAGCAGTTTGTAAACTTTAACTCTCTGAAAAAAATTAGAAGTAGACCAAGTTTGTCGTATTAGGAGTTAGGGCCAAGTTAAAAGGGCAAGTCAACTATT